AACGATACACCAGAATCCTCTTCCATCAACGACACAAAATTAGATGATGAAACGCAAGACGTAATCATAAAAGAGTATAAAAATGATGACAACAGTACAGTGACGCCGTCAAATTCAAACACTGAGAAAGTCGAGCAGAATACATCAACAATGAACGATGCACCAGAATCTTCTTCGATTAGCAACACGAAATTAGATGAAGGAAAGCAGGATGTTACTACAGAAAAGTATAAAAATGATGAAGATAGTACAGTGACACAGCCGAATTTAAACACTGAGGAAATCGAGCAGAATACATCAATAATAAACGATGCACCAGAATCTTCTTCGATCAGCGACACAAAATTAGATGATGGAACGCAAGATGTAATCATGAAAGAGTATAAAAACGATGACAGCAGTACAGTGACGCCGCGGAATTCAAACACTGAGAAAGTCGAGCAGAATACATCAACAATGAACGATGCACCAGAATCTTCTTCGATTAGCGACACGAAATTAGATGAAGAAACGCAAGATGTAATCATAAAAAAGAATAAAAATGATGACGACAGTACAGTGACGCCGCCAAATTCAAATACTGAGGAAGTCGAGCAGAATACATCAACAATAAACGATACACCAGAATCCTCTTCGATTAGCAACACGAATTTAGATGAAGGAAAGCAGGATGTTACTACAGAAAAGTATAAAAATGATGAAGATATTACAGTAACACAGCCGAATTTAAACACTGAGGAAGTCGAGCAGAATACATCAACAATGAATGATGCACCAGAATTTTCTTCGATCAGCGACACGAAATTAGATGATGAAACGCAAGATGTAATCATAAAAGAGTATAAAAATGATGACAACAGTACAGTGACGCCGCCGAATTCAAATACTGAGGAAGTCGAGCAGAATACATCAACAATAAACGATACACCAGAATCCTTTTCGACTAGCAACACGAAATTAGATGAAGGAAAGCAGGATGTTACTACAGAAAAGTATAAAAATGATGAAGATAGTACAGTGACACAGCCGAATTTAAACACTGAGGAAGTCAAGCAGAATACATCAATAATAAACGATACACCAGAATCCTCTTCCATCAACGACACGAAATTAGATGATGGAATGCAAGACGTAATCATAAAAGAGTATAAAAATGATGACAACAGTACAGTGACGCCGCGGAATTCAAACACTGAGAAAGTCGAGCAGAATACATCAACAATGAACGATACACCAGAATCCTCTTCGATTAGCAACACGAAATTAGATGATGGAACGCAAGATGTAATCATAAAAAAGTATAAAAATGATGACAACAGTACAGTGACGCCGCCGAATTAAAACACTGAAGAAGTCGAGCAGAATACATCAATGATAAACGATACACCAGAATCTTTTTCGATCGGCGATGCAAAAGGAGACGAAGGAACGCAAGATGCAATTACAGAAAAATATAAAAATAATGACGATAATATAGCGACACTACCGGATTCAAACACTGAAAAAATTATACAGGATACATCAGCAATAAGCGAGACAACAGAATTTACTTCAATCAATGACACATCAACGGAACCGGATGATAAAACACAAGATATAATTAACAGACAATTTCAAAATGATGACGACAAAATAGTAACATCACCGAATTCTAATACTGAAGAGATTGATCAGAATCCAACAACACTAAGAAACGATACTTCAGAATCTTCTCTATTTGATGTTGTTAAATCATCGAAACTAGACGAAGTAATAGAAGATATAACTTAAGAACAATACAAAAATGGCGAAACACAGACATTACGGAACTCCAATATTGAAGTGATTGATGAAAATTCAACATCAACAATAAATAATATACCAACAACTACAAATGCTCCGGGCAATAATGATTTCGATACATCAGACTCTACGTCCACACCTAACGTGTTTTCATCACCACCGACAGTGATCGACAATGTTGAACATACTACGGACGGATTATCCGAGACTACTCCCATAAATAATTAAACTTGCTGACGCCAATTTACATACGCCGAATAAATAAAAACGAAAATATTCTATCCGCGATGCTAGATTCAGCTACTGTTTCAGACAACACACAAATCCAGTAACGTAAAATGATAGCACAGAAACGTTGCCTGTGGCTCTAACTGAATAAGACGTTCACAATTGCAAACACGTACAAAAAATATGTAAAATGTATTTTTATTATGATACATAAATATCAATGAAAGGTATGTGTGATATGATTATTATACTATTAATATGTAGATAAAATAATAATTTATTATATTGTTCACAATATTTGTTTCGCGTCTCAGAGGTAGTCGTGGCCAATTTACATTTACATAATTACATACGTACACCTATTCCCTACTGTACAAAGAAAAAATTATTCTACAATCAAGAAAATAAGAATAAATAATGCCATACTGCCGAACCACATCGATTCTTTATACTGATATCAAATCCTATATGTTATTATCATTACATGTTTTCCTTCTCTTGCTCGTTTACGAGCGTGTAATAAACATCTTTCCGTTTAATTAGTTCCGAATGCGTGCCCATCTAAAAAATTACACGTCATTTATATATTGTTTAATAATATCACGTTTAAATTTATCGATTATGATGTACCTCCACAATGACACCGCGTTGTAACACGACGATAATGTCGGCGCCTTTAATGGTACTCAATCTATGAGCAATTACAAGCACCGTCCTACCTCTTGTAGCATTTTCAATTGCCTTTTGAACGACCCTCTCACTTTCATAGTCCAACGCGCTGAGCATGAATACACAAATGAAAGATAGACAGATGTTTAGAGTTATTTCATTGTTATGTCATACCTTGTCGCTTCATCCAAAATTAAAACAGACGGTTGTTTTAATAACGCTCTGGCGATAGCAACTCGCTGTTTTTGTCCACCAGATAGCTGCGCGCCCCTCTCGCCAACCTCGGTCGCGTAGCCGTCTGGGAATTTTGTTATAAATTCGTGGGCATTTGCTTCCTTCGCCGCCTCAATAACCTGAATTGATTAGAATGTGTAAAATATATTGCATGTAAGAATTACTGAGCAGCATTAATCGCAATGTTTTATTTTTCACCTCTTCGTCCGTTGCCTCTTGTTTCCCGTACCTAATGTTTTCCATGATACTGGTAGCAAATAATGTAGGCTCCTGATTTATGTAACCGAACACGCAGCCTCTGAGATAACTCGAGTTAAGCGATCTGATATCTCGACCATCGATAGTAATAGAGCCCTCTTCAACATCGTAAAATCTATACAATTATATATATTAAATCTTTACTAATTTTAAGCAAATTGCATTAATATGAATCGCACCTTTCTAACAATGCAGCCACAGTTGATTTACCGTTGCCACTGGCACCGACAATAGCCACCATTTTCCCAGCTGGTATATGTAAACTGAAATTCTTCAAAATAACATGATCTGGTCTGGTAGGATAGCTAAATTTCACGTCTTTAAAAACTATATTCCCCGCTAGAGATTTATCTTGGATCACGTCACCATTGATCATCATTGGGGAAGGCGGCATATCTAAATACTAAAAAAAGCTATAATTATATCGACAGTTTTCAATTCATAAATAAAATTATGTAATTTAAGTAATATCAATACATTACCTGGAAGACTCTAGCACCTGCACTTTGTCCCCTGACAAATGTTCCGAAAAGCACTGACAATTGACCTAAAGACTTTTGAATGGTTTGCGCAGCCATTAAAAACGCCATTAGATCTCCGGGAGACAATTGTCCTGTGGAAAGCAACTGCCCGCCAAAGTATAATGTGGAGAGTAAGATACCGTTGAGCAGTAAATTTGTTCCCGCTTGAAAGAAGCCTATTCCGAAACCTAATTTTTCATACAACTCAGACGAACGTTCCACCTCTTTGTAAAACATTTCTGCCTCCTTTTCTTCTGCGGCAAAAGCTCTCACCTGGAAAAAAGAATTGTTTACAAAATTTACTACTTGAAAATTTTCATAGCACGTTTTTTTACTCAACTATTTTACCGTGCGAATGTTTTGTATAGCCTCCTCGCAAACGGCGGTCGACTTTGCGACTTGATTCTGTGCCTCCATCGACAGCTTGCGCAAGCTTCTTCCCAGGAGAGTGCCGATGAAAATTATTGCAGGTAAACTGAACACCACAACAGTGGTCAATTGTGGTGATATCACTATTACAGAGACGACACAACCAATGATTTGTGTGAAGCTTCTCAGACCTTGAGAAATGCAGGTCTTAAACGAGCTTTTAAAGTCTTGAATATCACTGGTTAATCGACTTACTATTTCACCAGAACGTGTTTTGTCAAAGAATGCAATGTCCTGCATGATAATAGACTTGAACAAATCCTGACGTAAACTCACTGCAACTCTTTCACCAACATGTGAAAGTGCATAAATATATACAAAAGTAAAGAATGCCTGAAAAAAATATCAGAATTTATAGATGTAAATACTGAATTTATAAATATTAAAAAAATTTAATTCCAATTAATTTCCATACCTGTGCAATGTACATGCGTGCCAAAGCAAAAGCTGGTTTAGTTAGCTGCATAATTACTTGTTTTGCAGAATCACTTTTGGTTTGACAGATTTCTGTCAACACATTTATTACACTTCCAACGCATTGCGGTATTTGAATATTCAACAGTGCAACTATTAATGCACTCTATAAGTATAGAACACCAGTATATTATTTACAATAATATCATAAAGTTTATAAATTGTAAATACTTACTGACAATGCTAATAATAAATACCAAACATGTGGATAGAGATACTTGAAAAATTTTGACCATTCAAAGATCAATTCAGGATTGTTAGGTTTTATGTCACTTATTTCTTTAGCTTCTCTACAGATCACAGTTTGGTTATACGACTTCAGAATACAAATAGCTGTTACTCCTAGTCCGCCAAAACCAAATTTAAGGATGTATGAGGAAAGCTTTGATTCCTTCACATTTTCTTTGACACATCTTTGAGTAACTTTAGTAAATTCACGTTTTGCTGCCCTCCATATATTTTGCTCTTTTCCTTGTAAGGCACATTTCTGTAAAGAATACCTGAAATGTTTAATAAAAATGAATGTAATACAATGCCATTTTTAAGTGATAAATTTGCTTATTATTATGTCAAGCAATAATATCTACACTAATACTTTAGGTTTACATATATATATATAAATATTTTTTCTCTATTAGGTTATATAAGATATCTAAACAGTAGGATTAAATATAATATCAAGAGATTGATAATTACCTTGGAAGCACTGAATAATTATTGTGACACCTGAATAACATAGCACGTAAAATAGACATTTTGATGATATAACAGTGCTAGCACAAATTACTGATATTCTTGTTTATGATAATGATGTATATTTCGTATTTATTATATTTATGATATTTAATATCATTGCAATTTATTGCTATATTAATAATTAATGTAAAGCTCTCAAATCACAGACATGACGAAGAGATTTTTTTATTCAAGATTTAGAAAGGTTAACTAATAATAATCCTGCAACCAAGGGTAGCGCCATATTGAAACATCGTGTACCATCTTATGGTATTATTATATCAATCGTTTTATAAGTTTCTTCCAGATAGCGCTGAATGTATTATTTTAATTACAAATTATTGCATTCGCGCGCTTTGAAAAGTGACTTGCAGTGACTTGCAACTTTCCGTAAAAAATAAGTTAAAATGATGAAAAATTGGATCCTTTCTTTTAAAAAAACTCTCGAAACTTGATAATAATTAGGTAATAATCATGAAGCTGAGATATATATATAGTTATATATTGCACTTATAATTGTATGCAACCATGTAAGACATCGTTGCGTTACATACATTCTTCTAGATTATTAGGTTATGTTAGGTTTAGTAAGTAATTTTATTTAACTAATTTAAAATAACTTTTAGTGTTGAGATTGTCTGGATTCCTCATCAGGATCAGCGATCATCGTTTGGAAACAAGACAGAATAAGCTGGATTCAACAAATACGGTTATGCGGTTATACAGTTTATGCAGTACATCTTACAAGGTAAGGTTCTTCTCTTGAAGCAAAATGTACATATCAAGAGTTGTACAAAAATATTTGAATAATAATTGAAGAATAACTACTTAGACAGCACAGTGTATCCAAGAGACGTCCAGAGGATATCTTGAAGATATTTTTGGGACAACAGGATCCTCTGGATATCAGCTTCATGATTATTGGAGGATCCTCTGGATATCCTTTGGATGTATTTTGGACATGTGTGCTGTCTGGGTAGAAGCAAATATATTTTATATTTTTCAAAAAGATTTATTGATATTCATAATTTTATTAATTATTAATAAATATTGTATTATTATTAATTATTTTTGTACACTTTTATCGCTTACATAAATTTAACGAAATGTGGGGAAAAATATATTTGACACAAAATATAATCCATTAAAATGGATTGCACTATTGCAACTAGCGTGTTTGATAAAAAAATAGTCATCGCAAATTATTACATGGCGATTATACATTATTAAAATACATCAATAAATAGGAACTGGTAGAGATAAAAAAACCACATCTGACGTTATTGTCAGATATATCTTCATTAATCTATCCAGTGGAGTGCGTCGTGATTTACTCGTCGACAGTTGCACTTTTCCGCTCTCTTTCGCATTATTTACAACTTTTTTCCGGATTGTCGAGAGTTCGCCACGTGGCCCAATCTTCCCCGTCGCGAGAAAGTAATAGCGCAAAGTAAAAGCGAACTTTGATCAGTAAGCTAATACATGCCTCGCGCGCGCGAGCGCACGCGGATAAAAAAGCTCGAAAATTGCGTCTTGATGACGACGAAGGGGTCCTCCGCTGGATGAATGCCGCACGGTGGGCCTTAAAAGACCTAATCGCACCGGCAAACTCTTTGAGCTGCGAGTTAATGACGTGTATTTATGTATTCGCCGCGTTTAATTGCCTGTGCGGCTATTAGGCGCTACTCCGCGCCTTCCCGGGCGGCTTAAATACTACTCACGGCAGGGATAAGTATTAAGTACTTGTTCGCGTACTCTCGCGCGAAGCACGCCGCCGGCGCACAGTGTGGAATTTGCCCAAATCGAGGAGGGAAAAACAATTATTGGAAAATATTCTACATGTCAATTTTATTTTATATTTACTTCATTTAAGTGTATTGATTTAAAATTTTAAATCACAAGAAATTATTCCAAAAGAATACATAAATATTTCTATTAAGAATTTTATTCTTTTTTTTAAAGAATATTGTTGAATAATTAATGTTTTAAAACTTCTAAAATTTTCTTGCATACTATACATAATTTAAATAATACGCGTTAAAAAAATTTTTTTGTTGTATACAATTTTGGCTATGTATACTTTTGATTAGATATATATTTATATAAAAAACCGATTTTTCTTCTTTTTTAATTTGGAATTGTGTAACATAACTATAACTCATAAACATTATGGAGTTAAAATCAAACATTAAACATTAAAAATATATTCGTAATTGTGTAAATCTTATCAAATATTGGAACTATGTGTGTTAACGCAATTTTTTATTTTCTTTTGAAGGATTTGAAACAATATAGCTTAGAATCGTAAAATATTGTAATATATTAAATTTAAACATTTGTAGTATTTTTGTCCTCCAATATTAATTTCTGTGGAAAAAAAGAGGACGAGGTAGAAAGTCTAGAAATGACTGAAAATAACATAGCAATTTAATATCATACACAATCACTATTACTCCGATTGCAGTCGGGGGCGTTAGCGCGCTTTGTGATTCCAATTGCTCATTGTGTACCGTGCGTTATATTCGAGAAACTTTTGCGGTGATTCAGCATCAATAGAATTACGTTACCATCCGGATAAATATCGTATATTGGTCGATCTTTTCTTTCTTCAATTTCAACAAAATATCAGCTTTTAAATATTGTTCTACGATGCGTGGGAGAGAAAAAATTTATTTCGGTTTTGTTCGGTGAAATCGGTTTTCTAGGATTTTTAGTAATATAATAATCAATGATAATAATTCGTATTTTACTGATAAAAGACTTTAATTTGATATAAATGTCTACTGAGAAGTTTTTACTAACAAAAGATTTTTATTTTATTTTATAATGAATAAAACAAAAATTATCTGTTATGAAATAAAGAGAAATCATCTTTAAAATATGTAGCGAGGTCTTTGTATTAATTCTGAAAGGCTCGATATTTCTGATGCTATTTTGTAAGCATAATTTGTTTATCATATTTATGCACACTGAAGTGTGGAAGTCAGGTAGTTTTTCCTTTCTCGTGATTTATCAACATATGAGTAGAACAGTAAGCGAAAGCGTAAGCTGTTAGAGCGCGTGTTTTTCAAGAATGCTCCTTTATGAATGCTGGACGAATATCTTGCAAACGAGTTTGCGTCATCTACGGCACTTAACGTGCTCTGAGAACGGCGGGAACTTCACATTAAACCCTTCCTCTCGGATCTAGAAAAGCCATCGAGTCGAGGTCGCCCTTTTAACCCAGATTTGCGGCATTTGCGATCGCTCGCCTTATCGCCGCTTTAATATTTTTTAATTTATGATACTTTGAAATTTCTTTAGAATTTAGCACAATAGCTATGAAAATCGTAATGTAAAGAAAATGTGTACTCTTATTATAACAATTTTTAATCATCTTGAATTAATTTAATCTTAGTGTATTTAAACAATAATAAGTATTTTTAAGGCGCTCTTGTTCTTTTCTCACATTTATAAATTAAAAGATTTATAAATCAGAAGATGTTATATATAATTTAGGAAACGTAGAGAGAGTAAACATAAAAGCGATTAAATATCGCGCAGTAAAAACTATTATATTATCATTAAAGCAAAATTGGATATACCAAATCTTAAATATATATATTCTTGAAAGATAAATAATATATAATTTAATGCGATTCCAAAATTTAATCAAGCTTTTCGCGTTGAATTAAAGAGATGCGCATTATTTTTTCGGGCAAAAGCATCTCGTCATAACACGTGTACGCAACATTCCCACGTCGGAGCATGCCTCGCATAAGAATCCAATATCGCGACAAGACATTTTTCGGAGGAAGTTGTGCCGTGAAAATTCTGCAAACCGAGAAAATGAGAGAGATGGTACGAGAAAGAGTACGAAGGGAGGAGAGACTTAGGGATAAAGATAAGAAGGGGAGAATACAAGTATAAGCGCGCTATAACTGCAACAGTTCGCCACACCGGTGACGGCTGAAGAATGGGCCAAATGAAGTCTTCTAAATTTCAACACTCTCTTCGTCGCCTCGTCTTCCACCGCTTCCCCCGCGGCAGCCCGCCCTCGACGAGCGGGAGTCCGCGGAGTCGCGGCGGCGGTGGCGGCGGCGGTGTACGGAGAGCCTCGTCCGTGAAACACACGCGGTGTGGCAGGTGCCGGCGCGAGAACGAACGGGGTGGCGATGACGCAAAGTCAGCGCGGGCCAATGGACTCGGGTTCCGGAAACCAGCCGGAGCAGCGGTGGGCACCGACTGCCGGCTCGCGATTGGGCGTGGCTCCGGGGGGTGCCCTCGACTCTCCGCCGATACTGCTCCCGGGGGTGGGGGAAATCCCCAAAGTGTGCCCCGGGGTGTAATATCATACCGCTAGGTGGATAAATAGACGTAGCGCCGAGGCTACGTCGTCGTGATACGCCGAGAGGAAAGCGGAGAACGGGGTGGCGAGGCCGTGAGGCGGGAAGAGGGGAACGGGGTGGAAGAGCGTAGGCGACGGTGACGAAAGGGGGTAAGTAGGGGGGGAGGACGCGGAGACGGAGGTTTCGGGGATGTGCGAAACGCGCAGGGAGGATAACGGCGGAGAAGAAGGAGGATGGAGAGGTCGCGGACGGTTGCTCGAGGCCAGCCGGGCAAGAGGTGGGGTCCGGGTCTGGTTAGAAAATGGTCGCGGCAGGCGCGAGGGGCACGCGAGGGAAACGAGGAATCGGCGGCGGGCGACTACCGACGACGACGACGACGACGACGACGTCGACGTCGACAACGGCGAACTAGAATAAATAATGGTTGTAGTCAGCCTCAGCTTCCGAGAGGTATTTTCCAGTCGCGCGAACCGCTCCCCCGGAATGTGGGCCCGCTTTGGAGAAGGACACACTCGTGGCTCTTCGTGAAGCGGCGGGAGAGAAGCTAGCTTACGTTGAGATAAGAGGCATTGTTGAATCCAAAAGAAAGAGCATGAAGTCGTGTCCTTTCTAGCCGCGCTTTTTTCTTTCTCTGATAGATGTATACGCACACATGCGTCTAAATATATATATTTATTTTTATTCCTAGTGCAAAAAGCGCAGCACGGTGCAACTGAAACGAACGAATCCTCTGCTTCATAACTCTGTTGCTATCAAGTAACGATTTTTTTATATTCTATAAAATGTTATTTATTATTTTCTTAGCAATTTTTAAAGAATTTTAATTTATGGAAAGCGGAAAATGAGAGAAGAGAGAGAGAATTTAATTGAGACTTACTTTTCGCAATTTTCAATGTTGTTATTAAGTTGCGTAGGCCATAAAT